TTTGTGAAGGGAAAAGTGGTGATTGAGCCTTGATTTTGGCTGGAGGAGCGAGGTAAGTGTTGTGGCTAACCTTAGCTTGAGGGATTAGGTGTTATTTGCTTATTTGTTACGTGTTTGGATGTTGAGTACGATTTATAGGTAAGGTGACGAGTACCTATACGTTGTTGTCGGTCATAACATGTGAGTGAGCTTTATTCTTGGAAGTGCTATATTTTGATCATATTGTTCATGTGCAAACTAGTTAATTGATGTGTTGAGAAGTTTCTTATCATGTTTTATGAATTTGGTATTGATGGGGGGTTTTTACCCAAAAAATTGAGATTGGTATTGTGGAACTAAGTATTGAAGTAAGACTTGTTGTTGCCATTTCTACCTCTCTATTATTGTTGTATCTTGTTTTGGTGAGGTAGAGCGATAAAGTATGAAGGGCGATGGCGTGCACGTTTATATTATTAATATGGTGGGAAGAGTGATAAAACATGAAGGGTGATGCCGTGCATGTTTCTATTATCTATATGGTGAGGAAGAGTGATAAAGCACAAAGGGTGATGTCGTGCACGTTCGTACTATTGATTATCTGGTGAGGTTGAGAGTAAAAGCACGAAGGGTGATGCCGTGCATTTTTCAGTTTGTTGTGTTTACTTGTTATTACCTGTTCAAGTTCTACTACAACAACAATAACAACTACCCAGTATAATCCCACCAAGTGGGGTCTGGGGAGGGTAGGATGTACGCAGCCTTACCCCTACACTTCCAGGTTAGGGAGACTGTTTTCGAATTACCAAGTTCTACTAGCTATTTTAAAATTCCTCTACTGCTGTGATTCTGTATTTTGATACCCCTTAGCATGTTTCCCCTCCCGTTAATATCTGTTTACCTTCTGTTAACTGTTATTTCTATTAGCATATTGTATAACTGTATAGGTTTATGTATGTGTTTTGTTCTAGCCTCGTCACTACTTCGCCGAGGTTAGGCTCGGCATTTACCAGTACATGGGGTCAGTTGTACTGATACTGCACTCTGCACTTTCTGTGCAGATTTCGGTACGGGACCGTGCTGACCCGATTTGAGCTGCTACCTTCATTCCAACAGAAGACCCAAGGTAGATCTGCCGGCATTCGCAGACCCTAGAGTCCCCTTCGAGTTACCCTAGCTTCCTGTTTGCTTTTAATTCGAGAACAGTTGTATTTTCTTTCAGCCAGTATTTGTAGTGACTCTTAGAAGTTCGTGGATTATGACACCAGATTTTGGGTAGTCGTGTATAAGTACTTGAGTTATTATAAAATTTTGCACTTCTTTACTCTGTTTTCGTTTAATTACTATTCTTTATTGAATTGGATAGTGCTTAGCATATTAAATCTCTATCGGTTGGCTTGCCTAGCATTCTGGAAAGTTAGGCGCCATCACGATCCCGTCGGTGGAAAATCCGGGTCGTGACAGGGCGCTTCTCGAGCTGATGGTTGGGGTGCCCCGCAAATGCTGGTTTTGGGGTTAGTTGGTAGATTGATGTTGATGACAACCTATGAGTTTGCATCGACCGGGTTGACGGCTGAGAGACCATTAGGATCAATAGAGGGCACATCATTGCTAGGTATCATGTTATTTTTCCTCGCCGTGGTGGCCTGACTCAGCGTCAACGTTCAAGTGCGTAGATTGAGAATTTAACATCCTTAGGCTAACCTGGAATCAAAACTTCAAAGACCAAGTGCAGAACAGGGAGTGTTATCGAGATTCGTATCAAATCATCACTATTATCCTTAGCCCCACGGTGGGCAGTAAACTATTTACCCTTAAAAATTAATAACAAATAAATTTGTACGCGATTTAAAAGATACGTGATTTGATTCAATACGAATGATCTAAGAACAACAAGTAATTAAATTAAAGAAATAATGAACAATAAAATCAATCGTAATGTGATGACCAAGCCTGATCTTAAGTTGAACATTGAAATTCGGCCTCGATCAGACCCTCGATATAAGCTCGGTTCCGTTTGAAGAAGAGATTATCTGAAGAACACTTTGAATAATAAGTAGAAGACAAAAATGAACTTTTATTGCTTTGATATGCATGTCAATAGTGTGTTCAAAATGAAAAAAATTCTCCCCTTTATATAGTAAGGGAATTTCAGTCCTAATATAAGTCTAAAAAAGATAAAACCCTTATTTTTCGATAAATATTGATCTGCAGTTGATATCGAACGGGATTTTTTGCTATAATATTCGGTTGAGGGTGAATATTACGGCTCCCTACTTGTCATTCCCAACCGTTCCTCCTTTTCCCGTGGTCTCGAAACTTTACTTGGTGCGAGTCCATTGTTTCAGAGTGCCCGATCCTAGATACATCATTCACTCCTATCGAGTTCCTATACGAGAGATACTTCGGCCTTTGCTTATAGTTGCGTCGAACCATGCTCCCATCTCTTTTCCTTATGGGGAAATCGGGAAAAATATTGCCCCCAATTTTACCCGTACACAAAGGAAAAAGTTGGTATTTGAAGAATAAATAAATACATCCACAATCATCATTCATATAAGAAGTATTCCATATTTTGACTAATGAAACTAAACTAAGGGAGAAATGCTAAAAGTTTAAGACTTTAGAGACTAAAAGAGGAATATATCTGTGCAGCTAATACCATAATAGGCTACAAAAGGAGATCTTCACAACTAATCAATCTCTCTCTCTCTCTCATAGGAATAGATGATGCTTATTTAAATTGATACATAGAAAGAAGAGGAATCGGAAATGATTATGCGGCTTTTGAGTTTTAATCAAACCACATAATAATCGGTAAAAACACTAAGAGGAAAAAGAGATCAAGGTATTTTAAGAGGATTAATGAAGGGGTGTGGCTCTTTGTATAATGCAATATTATAACCGTGGAAGATAAAGAACCAAACAATCATGAATAATTAAGATACTTGAAAAACTTCTCTGCCTACGAAACTGATTGAATATTTCTCCACATTCACCCGGTCAAAAGTAATAACAATATTCATTTACTGGAAGGTCATTTTTTGACTCGGGGATAAAATTGTCAATCAACTTTTTAAGGATATGTTAGTAAATTAATTTTTGAATGTAGAATGTTCTCACTTTTAGTATAATTTGACTTGGGGATAAAATTTTCATTCAATTTTTTAAGGATATATTAGTAAATTAACTTTGAAGGTAGGATGCTCTCACTTTTAGTATAACAAGTGTTCGGGCACGCGCGTGGCGCGTCTGTCCCATATTAATAATAACAAATTAATATAAGGTTACTTAAAAATGCTACTAGTCATAAAATAAAAATTACAAAAGAAATGCAAGTCTTTAAAAATGATCGATGATGATTCTACTTAGCTAACTAAATAAAGAAAAAGCCCATGGCTATATTGTTCGCAATAGTATCTCAGTCCTTTCATGACCTTTCTACTTCTTTAAGAAAATTACTTGAAAGGACAAGTCTGAAATGAAATAATAATATCTCCAGAATTTTCTTATATTATTTTTATTAGCAACGTTTACATAATGGGTGAGGAAACATTCTTAGACCAGCTATGAAAATAGTTGGTTGATGTTTTTAATTAGAAAAAAGAAAAGAAAAGCTAAAAAGAAATTAAATATTAAAGTTTTGTCCTTGAGTACTCTATTAAACTCAAAGGAGCACCAATAAGCCTGGCATGTTCTTGACAAGTATCTTTTTAAGTCTTTCAATGCCTGCAAGCATTCTAGAGTCCACATAAAATCGTTCTTCTTTTTCAAAAGCGAAAAGAAATGATGGTATTTCTCCGAAGATCTTGAGATAACCCTGCTTAGAGCCGCCAATCTGTCGGTCAACCTCTGTACTTCTTTCACACTTGTTAATTGATTCGAGATATCCTTGATGGCTTTTACTTTATCGGGTTCACTTCGATTCCTCTTTGGGAAACCAAAAAACCCTAGGAAGTTATTGGGACCAACTTCGAAGGCACATTCCTCCGAGTTGAGTTTCATGTTGTAATTTCTCAGAATGCCAAAAATTTTCTTGGAGATGATTAAAACAATTCCCTGCATTAAGAGACTTAACTAACAGGTCGTCAATATAAACCTCCATTGTCTTACCAATTTGATGTTCAAACATTTTATTAACGAGCCTCTGATAAGTGGCTCCGGTATTCTTAAGCCCGAAAGACATCACATTATAGCAAGATGTGCCAAATTTTATGATAAATGAGGTCTTTTCTTGATATTCCGGGTGCATCCTAATTTGATTATACCCGGAATATGCATCAAGAAAACTCATTAACTCATGCATGGTCGTAGCATCAATCATTTGATCAATGTTTGGTAATGGGAAAGAGTTCTTAGGGCATGCCTTATTCAAATCTTTATAATCTAAGCACATTCTAAATTTATTATTCTTTTTAGGCTCTACTACTACATTAGCTAGCCAATCGGGGTAATTTACCTCTCGAATTGAACCTATATAACCGGGTTACCCTTTTTTTGACAAACCTATTTTTGACCTCTGCTATTGGTCATTTCTTCTGCCTTACTAGAGGAAAGGTAGGATCCAAACTCAGCTTGTGGAAAACCACTTCTAATGGAATACCTGTCATGCTTGAATACGACCATGCAAAATAATCGGCGTTAGCTTTTAAAAAATCAATAATTTTTAACTTGAGTTCGGAGCTCAACCCTGTTCCTAAGTGTAATTTTCTTTCTAAAAACTCCGTGAACAAGGCCACTTGTTCAAGTTCTTCAGCGGTTGATTTGGTCCCATCTGTTTCCTCCTGTACCTAAAAAGATCTCGATACCTAATAAAAATTTGATGACTCCTCTTCTCCAATATCTCAATCGGGGTGGAGATGGCACCCGCTCCTGTAGTTGATATTTGCCTGTTTCGTTCCCCTTGCTACTGGACAAGGTAACTCCGTTTGTCTCTCGTGCAACTGGCTGATCTCCTTTGATCTGCTTGACCCCTTCCCGAGTGGAAAATTTCAGCAGTTGATGATATGTTGATGGTGCAGCCTTCATTTCATATATACAAGGCTTCCAAGGATTGTGTTGTATCCTATGTAGCCATCTACCACTTCAAACAAAGTGGTCTTTGTTACGCCTTCGGCATGCGTTGGCAAAAGGATCTCTCCCCGAGTTGTTACACTCGTTAGGTTGAACCCGGCCAGAAGCTTTGTTGCCGGAACTATGTTTCTGGTTAACTTTGTTTGCGCTGAAACTCTCCATTTTATGATGTTGGTTGAACTACCTGGATCAACCAACATACGTTTAGTTTTAAAATCTAAAACATTAAGAGATTTTGCCAGAGCATTGTCGTGCAGTAGAATAAGTCCATCAACATCTTCCTCTGTAACGGTGATTGCATCTTCTAAAACTTCACGAACTCTCTGTCCATGAGTTATTGATATCTTCGACTTCTTTGCTTTCAAAAATGTCACCCCATTTACTTCGTCACCACCAAAAATCATATTAATCATCATGCGAGGTGACCCTGCAGACGGTTTTGATAGTTTAACAACTTCTCTATTTTTTCCATAATTATTCTTGGCTAAATCACTTAGAAATTCTCTGAAGTGACCATCTTCAAATTGCTGCCACCTCTTCTCGAAGGTGTCAGCAGTCCCCAGTCCTGTGACCATGAGTTCTACGGAACTCACACCATATATTAGGATCCCTTTGGCTAGAATCCGATAAGATTGATTTCAGAAACCTAGCCTTCTTAATATTCTTCATAGTCGACACCAACTCTACCAAACTGATGTTAAAATTATAGTCAGATAACTGGAAATATGCTGAATCTCGTGACCCCGAAGATTCCTTCTCCCAGAAAGCTCTATTATTCCGACCAAGATCCACTCTTCTATTGGCAGCAAACATGTCTGATGACTGAAATTCTTTACTTCCATGCCCCTCAACCCTTTCATAAGGTAGCGACTCCTAGAAGACCTCCGATCTGCATCAAAATCAATTTTGAATTTCTCTTGATTGCGATCACGACTACATCCTTTGGAAGACATCGACGAACTTAGTTGATCATATTTTATTCTAGTCTTTGACTCATAGCGATTGTGGACATCTGCCCATGTGGTTGCCTAAAATTCTAACAAGCTTTCCTTTAATTTCCTGGAAGCATCGGAGCTCAATGGGTTGAGACCTGTTGTCAATGCTTCACTCATGCAGTACTGCAGTCATAATGAAGGTTTGATCCTGTATCCATTATATTAGTCTATTCAACATGGCTTTTAGAAAACTCACACTCTATAAACAAATGCTCATTGTTTCATCAGAGTTCTAGCACATAACACATTTGAATTAATCACAACTCCCTATCTAGTTAGCCTGTCAGCAGTTAATAATTTGCCTTGCATTTGCAGCAGCCATAGAGTGAACCTGGATTTCGGCCTAGCAGGGTTCTGGAAGACCAAGCATTTCCATGGAGCTCTAGGTTTATCTCGAACATATAGCAGCCTCGTGATACTCTTTCCAGCAAAGTGTTGATATTGGACTTGATTAAGTACATTCTTTGCTTCCATAATTTTTCTTACCATCCAACATGCCTATTGTTGTACATGCATATCCTCTAGTTGCTGCCCTTTAATATAGTATATGTGAACCCATTTTATCCTCAACTTATCTTCTTTGTGAGCTAGATCCCAACATATATTAGCTGTAGCAGCTTTATTCCATACATGCAAGTTGATCAAATTCAGTCCTCTAGCACTCTTGGGAGTGCATACTCTATCCCATGCTACTAATACTATTTGTGCAATTATGTTACTTCTAGATCATAAGTAGCTCATGTAGTATGCACCAATAAGTTTGAGTACTTTAGCAGGCAGCACAAACATCTGAGCCCAATATGCTCGGATTCCCAACAAGATTAATTGTATTAGTTGAGCCCTTCCTGCATAGGATAGCTTCTTAGCTGTTCCAGATGAGATTTTTATATCTATTTTTTCAGTTAGAGTTGCTACTAAATCAGGGATAACTTCTTTGTAGAGAGTGGAATACCAAGATACTTGAATGGCAATTCGCCACTAGAGAACCCCAAAAGCTGAAGAATTCTATCTTTTTCTGCGATATCCCTAAAAAATATATAGAACCCTTCCCAAGATTTGCTTGCAATCTCGAAGCTGTAGAGAATTGCATGATTGATGTAAAGCCTTGACAGAGGGAAAATCACCCCTAACAAAGAGAATAAAGTCATCTGCAAAAGATAGGGTGTAATACCTATCCTTGCACACCTATGATGATAGTAAACTCCTATTTTTTATTAGCCCGTGTAAGTTATTACTAAGATGTTCCATTGCTATAACAAACAGAAAAGGGGACCTAAGATCCCCTTGCTTGAGCCCTTTAGCAGCATCAAAAGGTTGTGATGAATTCCTATTAACTAGGATGATATAGCTAACAATCTTTACACATTCCATGACCCATGCCGTAAACTTAGAAGGGAATCCCAACTTTGCAATTACTTGCTCCAAGTAGACCCATTCTATAGAGGCATAAGCCCTTTGGAGGTCAATTCTAGTAATGAAACTGGGAGAAATATGTTTCCTTTGTATATGATATAACTAGTTTATGAGCTAGAATACCTATTTTCCTCCGATGAACCTAGCCTATGCATTACGTACTATATCTGGCATAACCTTTTGAATCTTTACTACAAACACCTTGGATATTTACTTGTATAGAACAACGCAACAAGCAACTGACCTGTATTCTTTGACAATGGTAGGGTCCTCAGTTTTTCGTATTAGAGTAATAGATGTGCAATTTATAGCCATGTAAATCTTGCTACTGGTAAAGAATTCTGTGTTGCCCCTATTACCTCCTCCTTGATAATGTTCCAAGATTTCTTAAAGAAATTGGCATTATATCCGTCTATACCTGGTGCTTTGTCATTCCCAGTAGACTCTAAGCCTGCCTGAATTTGCCTCTCTGTTACTTCAATACATAGTTCAAGCCTCTGCTAGTTGGTGAGGATCTTGCCATTCTTCATTTTAAGTTTGTTAATTGCCGATAGTACTTGGGCAGTTGCTCATATCCAACTCTTGTAAAACTGAATAATTTCTTCTTTGATATCTTCTTCTTTAGTAAGCCTAGATCCATCTAAGGCACTAAGCTCCCTTATTTTTTTGCTACGACTTCTTTCTTTGACCACAACAGTGAAATTCTTCTTATTAGAATCACCAAGTTGTATCCATTTAGCTCTGAATTTCTGTTGCAGGTTAATTTGCTCCACCATTGATCATTTCTCTAGATCCTTGAGAGTAGCTTTTTCCTGATCTCTTAGCTTTTCATCCCATTGATGGTTCAGATGTTCTTGGATTACATTTAAGTCCCAGCTGTCACAGGGGTCATTTATGTCACTCGAATTTTGCCCGAGGTTCACCACCGTGTGGCAGTCAAGCCCAGCCTTGACTTCAGCCTTTTCAACACTTAGAATTATTTTAGGACGTTTCGGACTTAGAATAAGTGTAGGCAGAGAGAAAAGTAAAGGCACACACGAAATTTACAGGAATCTCTTCCCAACTCGTATTAATATGTGAATACAAGAACACAACAAGCCAACCCTATGGCCAAGAACAAAGAACACCCTAGTTCCCTGCCCCGAAATGATTTTCACCCTTAGGATAATCTTCTGAGAAATAGCTTCGAACTCCTCCTTGTTCACTCATTTAAGTTCTGTCTTGAGGACCTTCAACTTCATCCATCCATTTCTCATTTTTTCACTTGCTAACTTCCTTTGCCATATACAGTGGAGGACTCAGACTTTTATGCAAGCGGGTTCAGACAGATATTAAAATTTATCTGACAGTAGAAGTAATATTACTGGACAAAAAACGAGTTTTACCCTCCGCTCTTTATGTTGTTTCATAATAAATCTCAACAAGTATTTGCCCGCTACTCTTTATTTTTTTTTATGTCATGCTCCAAAAAAAAAAAAAAATTTATGTATGTACCTTTTAACATATAATCATTTACTAAACTTCAATTCTTTTTAAAACTGTTTTACTTCACGAAAATCAATTCAATCTATACCAAAATACTAAGTAATTTACTTATTTATTAAATTTAACAAAATTAACATGCGGTAAAATATTTACTGTAACAATCTAATCTGTGCTAACAATTAATAGAACTAAAAACTAACATAAAATTAAAGGTTTTAACAGTATAAGAATTTAACAAATAATTTAACAAGAAACTTTTGGGAAGCAACAACTAGGAATAGGTAAGGAATACAATAAAACATTTGAAACTTTCAAATTAAAAAGGTGAAATTTAAGACAGAAGAATATTTGAAGAAACAATAAAAGATAATCACTGTTGATAAATTGTACAATACCTTCAATTGGACACTTTTAAAATAGTACTAGTTCAGAAGAATTGAACACAATAGAAATAGTACTAGTTCAGAAGAATTGAACACAATAGGAGCAGTAAATCTAACCGCTTTTAAAATGAGGAAAAAGAGCTTATAAAATGATAAGAGTGGCGATTCGAACTCTGGACATGAATCTTAAGATGACCCCGCTTGAGCCATCATGCCATGACTTTGTATGTGTAAAGTGGGTTCAACTTGTTAGTTTTGTACGTAATTGTTTTCTCAGCAATATAATTTTCATATAAAAATAATGATATTTTTTGACGAAGCGGGTTCAGTTGAACCCGCTTGAACCAACGTGGGTCCACCCCTGGCCATATATCTTTTACTATAGGCAGAAAAGTGCTATGAGTAGCCCAAATACTGTAAATCTAAGAGGGACTTTAACATTTTGTGTGAGCAGTATCAAGAGTGATTAACATAGGCGAATGATCAGAAATATTAGGTACATCATACTACAACACTACTTGTCCCCAGTGCATCATCCATTGATAGTTACCAAATGCTCCGTCCAGCAGCAGCATATTCTATCAAGTCCATGTTGTTTATTTGTCCAAGCATAATATTCCCCCTTCCAAGATAGTTTATTCACCAGCAAATCATGTATGCATTCTAAGAAATCTTTTATTCCGAGAATAGAACAGGGTTCCCAAAGATCCTATCTATCTATCTATCTATATATATATATATATATATAAAGGAGGGAATAGAAAAGGTGATGTGACACCTCTTTCTGACCAGGATTCTATTTATCTTTTTTCTCCTTTTTTTGCCTTTTCCCTTTTATTCTTTTCATTTAAATTGCTTACTAATCGGAAATTGACCATTCTCTATCCTATTTATTACATCTCATTATATTTATTTCAGTTACAAAAGAAAAAATTAAAAAATATCATGTTATTTGTTTTCCCAGAAGTCATCTTCTTCAAAAAATTGTGCAAAAGGTCATAAAAATCTATGTCTATATATAATAATAATAATGATAATAATAATAATATATGTAAAAATAAACTGATTTGTCTCTATTAATTCATATATACGTTATGACCTTTGCTTCTTATAGCGTCGGTTACGGATCCTTTACATGGAAGGGTTATTTCAAGTTTCAAAAGCTTCTTCTGTATTTCGTCTACATGTCATTCTACTTTTCTACTTTGTTGATGTTCCATACTTCCACCCAATATTTTTGGATCATAGTATCCATCTATTTATTCTATTTTTGTATATAGATTTGGGTAATTTTTCTCT